ATTTAATCGGATGAACATTTCAAATTCACCCATCGATTTACTCGTTTCCCCCCTACCGTACCTAAATGCCAAATGAAAAGAAGGAGGAGTGAAAGGGAAAAAGAAATCCCTTGTGGAAATGAGTCACATCTCTCTCTTCTCTTCTCTTCTCTTCTTTGATTTCCTTTCAACGCCTACTCCCTTCACAGTCTCAAGTTCAACTCGAGACTTTTTAGTCAACGAAAATAGAACTACCTCAAAGCATAGCATTAATAGCAAGCGATGGTGCTAATTGAATATTTTTTTGTGTGGCGTGGGAACGAAATCGAAAGAATGCAGCCAGTTGGCAACTTTCTCATCTTACTTTTCAAGGCCAATTCTTTGAAATTAAAAGAGTTTTTTTTTTGTTTTTAAAGCATGAGAAACTGACAATCGAAGTTCAGACTTTAGAAAGTTAAATTTATTGTTTAAGAATAGAAAAAGCAAAGAAGTTATGCAAATTTTTGATAAGTAGTTTTTTAGATACAGTACCCTGTCGTAAGATTTTTGTCGGTGAGATCAAAGACAATTTGATGTGTGCACTTGAGATCAAGGCTTGAGTGGGTTTTTTTTTGAATATGGGGTAACAGGAAAGACTAGAAATGGTTAGGAAGTTAAAAGAGGGTTTCGATGTAGTTCAAAGGATTCAAAGGATTGAAAAGGATCGTTGAAGGGGCTCAAGTAGGAGGAGATGCGCAACACCCGATCAGTCGCTACTTCTTTAATATCTTCCTACAAATCCTACAAGATTCCAGGGTACTTTTAAGTCTTTTAAAAGATGAAAACATCATTGTAAGTCGATGTTGGTTTACTTGATTCAATTTGATTTCAAAAATTTGCCCTTTTGGAAAGGCTACAGTAATCCGATTGACTAAAAAACTATCGGAATCACATTTTCTTTCAACTTTAACTATTCAAATCTGCTTTTCTAAACTAAACAATTCAAATCTGCTTTTTTTCTTTGACTTTCTAGTCTTTTAACGTTTTTGAACGGAAGAAACTCTCTTTTTAGCCTCTTTTTAGCTACCAAATAGTAGCTAAATGTTCATTAAATTTTTGCAAATCCCTAGCCAAAGATTCTCACAAATTTCCCCCAACCGGGAAGCAAAATTTGAATACGAATTGATCGAGCCTTTGAGAGAAAAGGGAATCACCAAAAGCGAATGTGTGCACACCTGGGAGAATCCCTCTTTTTAGCCTCTTTTTAGCCCCTTTTTAGCTGCCTTTTGCCTCGAAATTGATCAATTCCTACGCCAGAAGGGATGCGTTTTGAAAATCGTGCACACTGAAGGGTTTCAGGTAGATAAAGAGTCAAAAACTCTTCACTCACTCTTCATTTCCAATGTTTGCTTATCGATTTTCGCAATTCTCACTCATTCCCTCTGTGGGAATGAATGAGAATTGAGAGCTACTTGATGAAAATGGGGATTGAAGGTGTCAAGAGAGGAAAAAGATTGCATGAACATTCAGAGATTCCGTTTGCGCAACGTTGAGACGTCAAAAAAAGCTTGATTAAGTGGGTCAATGAAGGAGGACTATCAAAGTGTATTAAAGTCTATCAGACTCTATCAAAGTCTATCAGACTCTATCAAAGTCTATCAGACTCTATCAGACTCTATCAAAGTCACCTTTTCCCAGTCTTTAGTCCTTTTAGTCTTTAGTAAGTCAAGTCTTTAGCAAGTCAGTACTATCAAAGTACTGAAGTCAAGCAAGTCAATACTATCAAAGTCTATCAAAGTCTCCTTTTCCCAGTCTTTAGTCCTTTAGTCTTTAGCAAGTCAAGCCTTTATCAGTCTAACTTTAAGCTTAAAGATCTTTGTGTTGAGTTATCCAATTTAAATCTTCTTTTTATCATCGGATACACCAAGTCTTTCACTAACAATTCATACAAAAAACTATTTAAATTGAACAGCCCAACACCAAGAAATTTGAGGCTAAAGTGAGTTGGATTTTCAATGGCAAAGGGTTGGGTTTTCAATGGCATATCAAATGTCCCCAATCGATTTATTGACTATATTTTGTCACTATAATTGTAGTTTTTTGATTGAATACCTTGAATTAATGAATTTATTTTGTAAAGTCCCTGAACATTTCTTTCATCGACCCAATAACCCTTAACCCTAACCCTAAGCCTTTCACCTTTCCCCTCTCCCCTCTCAACCCCTTACACACATAAACAACCGGTCGGCGTCAAGTCACAAAAAAGACAAGCACACAAAAAAACTGGCTTTCTTCTTGCTTTTTTTTCTGGGACATAAGAAGGTGTGCCTTGATCGCTTTTCGCAAAAAATGATGCCAGACAATGGCAGGACGGGAAGGGAGAGCCGGTTAATGGCAGCTGTAGAAAGAAAAAAGATATTCAATGAACTCGAGAAGGGCGGGTTTGGTGACAGACAGACACTTGACTGAAAAATTTGAGATTTATTGAGTACGGTATGTTGAAAACTGTTTGGAGAGTTGAAGAAAACTTGTATAAACTTGTATAACTCGTTCTTCTGTCTCTAATCTAGCTATAGTTAAGTGCTGAATTTAGTCAAGGATTAAGTTGTTTTTCCGGTGCAACCTTTATTAAGTTGATTACGGTTTAATAAGGTAAAAGGGGAGTATATGATCTAGATCTAGATAGATCTAGTTACTGTTCAATTACAGATTTATCTGTACTCATCAATACTGCTCTTTACGATTCAATTTCGTTTTCTTTTCCCCCCTTAACGAGTTGTTTATTTCAAATATGAAAATGGGGATTGAAGGTGTCAAGAGAGGAAAAAGATTGCATGAACATTCAGAGATTCCGTTTTTGCGCAACGCAACCAAAAAAAAACTTGATTAAATGGGTCAATGAAGGAGTCTATCAGAGTCTATCAGAGTCTATCAAAGTCTCCTTTTCCCGGTCTTTGGCAAGTCAAGCCTTTAGCAAGTCAAGTCTTTAGCAAGTCAGTACTATCAAAGTACTAAAGTCAAGCAAGTCAGTACTATCAAAGTCTATCTTAAATATTTAATAAGGTAAAAGGTAAGTATATTGGTAGATCTCTGTTCAATTTGAGATTTATCAGTACTCATCAGTACTGTTCTGTACTCATCAGTACTGTTCTGTACTCATCAGTACTGTTCTGTACTCATCAGTACTGTTCTATACTTATCAGTACGATTCAATTCGATGTTCTTTTCCCCATTAACGAATCGTTTAGTTCAAATATTTATTCACTTTTTAAAATATTCAAATATAGATGAAAGAAATAAAACAAAAAAAAATGCAAAAAAAAGAAAAAAAATGAAAAGAGATTTCATCGAAGAGGTGAAGAGAAAGGGATAAAAATAAAGAAAAATCAAAAAAAAAAAAGAAAAATGACTCAACGATGAAATATTTTCACTGACACAGGCAATTTAGGGATCGCTTTTCATTTTTTCTGAGTTTTTAGGGCCAAGTTTTCTTTTTTAAATCACGGAAATATCGACGGGAAAATTTCATTCTAATTTTCAGTTATTCAGTTGAAATTTTAAATAAGAATATGGCAAAGTAAAGGGAAAAAAAAAATTGGTCAAATTGTGAATACCTAGAAGGATCTCTTTCTTTCTTTCTTTCTTCTCTTTCTTTCTCTCTCTTTCTCTTTCTCTTTCTCTTTCTCTCTCTTTTTTAGCTTCCTCTCTTTCTCTCTTTGGGTTAAAATCGATGAAATAGATGGTTAAAAGTTTATGAATTGAATCAAGTAAAGTAAAAAAGTTTTCCCTATTCTTTTTGACCAATTTTCTTAAAGAAAGCAAAAAATAAAGTTGATTGATTGAAAGAATCTTCGAGTTTTTCATTGATGCATTTGATGAGAAAGAAAAAGAAAAAAGAAAAAAGAGAAAAGAAAAAATAGAAAAGAGAAAAGAGAAAAACACAAATTTCATTATGAAAAATCGAGAAGCAGGGGAATTTCGTTGAATGAGAATTGAACAAAAAAATAATAACATAGAAAAGCTATTGTGCACATGAGAGAGATGAAACAAAAAAAGACATTTAGGGACATTTAAGGACATTTAGAGTCAAGTAATCGTGTACTTTTTATAAAAAGACTAAATTGCACAAAGAAAAAATGCAATTTAAGCTTTTTTTTAGCTATAGAATCGAAAAGAGAAAAGAGAAAAGCGTTTAGTTTTTTTGGCTTTCAACATCACAACCAAGTGTTGGCCGAAGAGATTGAGAAATCAGAATTCAAATGAGAATTCAAATGAGAATTCAAATGAGAATTCAAATGAGAATTCAAATGAGAATTCAAATGAGAATTCAAATGAGAATTCAAATGAGAATTCAAATCCGAATTCAAATCCAAATTCAATCAGAATTCAAATCCGAATTGAAATGAGAATTGAAGAAAAGCTCAAAAGGTTTAAATGAAAGATAGAAAGAAAATGCAAGGATCTGGGATTTCAATGATTTTTTGGATTTCAAAAGTTCAAGGCATCTTGGTGAGTGGTGAACCGTTTAGCAAAGAAAAATTGAAAAAAAAACGATAAAAAATGATTCGAAGTATCAATGTATCAACTTTTAACATTCAAAATATCGTTTAAAATAAATCGTATAATAGTTCGTAGTAAAGTTATGTACACTAGCGAGATCGCTGTCTAACGTTTCTTGGGTGCTGGGAGTGATGGGGATCAGGGGAAAGATGATTGGAGAGATTGGATGAGGGGAAAGATGATTGGAAAGATTGAACAAATGAACTAAATCTTTTCAAATGTTCTTTATGCTAGAGTTTTCTCTGAAACAAACTAAATCTGATGCAATAGAGTGACATATTTCTTTTGAAATAACTCATTGCAATCATCGTTATAATCATTGTCTTTAACTGGTTAAATAAAAGTCAAAAGTAACACTGATTTTTTGTTCTTTTAAAGTTTTTAACTCGAATTTCTCTCCATCAGAAAGCATTTCTTTCAGTTTTCTTAAGCATAAAGAACAAGAAAAAGAGGTATTCTCCGTTTTTTCCAATTTTCAATTACAGATTTGCTGCAGAGCCATTTGTTGATGAATATAAAGTGTGTTGATAGGTATTGTAAGTGTCCTGGGGGATGCCTGTGCTCTGGTAGATTTGATTGTACATCGAGTAGTCGAGTGTCTGAAATGAACATTGTTTTAATGTTTATAGTTTAGTATTGATTTCTGCAGCATTGATTTCTGCAGCATTGCTTTCTGCAGCTAAGTAAAGCATTTGCCCGGTTTGGTAAGCGATAGCCGGCTTCGACTGCCAGCTCTATTCGATCAAAGGCCAAAAGAGGATCAACTCATGCTGATCAACTGCTTTAAATCTAAATCCGATAAAATTGAAGACTAACCCGGCCGGGTTCCATCAAATTGCCTATCAAAAACGAGGGATTCGGTAAAGCGGAAGAGGTGAAATCCTGTCCACAGCCCATCAAAGTGCTGTACTGTTGGTAGGGGTTTACCTGAAAATTCTATTATAAATAGAAGCTATTCAATTGTAAAAATGATCAAGTTAACAATGATCAAATCTAGATGTAGAAAACTGGCCTAGTACAATGCTAGAACTAGGGCTAAACTAGCTAGACAGCTAGACACTAGCTTTAAACACTAGCTTCAAGACACTAGCTTTGAAACACTAGCTTTCAAACAATACTAGAGTCAATCTTTGAACAATACTATTCTTTATACAGTGATCCACTAGATACAGAGCAATTCTAACCATTCAAAACTTTATTTTGCCATTCAATTAGTGTACTGTAGCTCCCCTAGAGATCATTGTTGATCATTGCTCACATTACTCAAGTTTTCTCGTACAAGTTGTACAAGTTGACCATTCATTCACCCATTCATTACATCACACACATTGTGAAGAAATAATGGGCCCAATAACACCAAGAAATCTCAATATTACAACACATCTCTAGGAGATATTTGTCAAGACTATCACACACTTGGGTGCCACGTATCCGGTGGGTATTTCCGGCACTGGACGACAAGTTTTCCCCCAGGGTGTCAGGTGAGAGGTCTTGTTCACAGATTCGTTCATAGTTTCCATATGGCAGCTTTGTAGACAATAGTCCCATCATATATTAAGTGTTTATAGTTACAATTAGCTATTTGGACAACAATAGATATTGATTTCTCTAAAAAAAACACCAGCCAGGCCGTTAGTCAAATAAACATATTTGGGCAGAAATAAAGTCAACAAAGTTTTGCTAGACATGGGAAATTCTATGTTTCCTGTAGCAGTCTTGTTGACAAGATCTAGAGCTAGTGATGCTGGATCTAGAGCTAGTGATGCCTGGATCTAGATCTAGTGATGCTGGATCTAGATCTAGTGATGCCTGGATCTAGAGCTAGTGATGCTGGATCTAGAGCTAGTGATGCTGGATCTAGAGCTAGTGATGCCTGGATCTAGAGCTAGTGATGCTGGATCTAGATCTAGTGATCTAGCTCCATAGAATAATCCCTAAAGGTTTTATCTAGATATTCGATTTTAGAAATCCCTGCAAATATCGAGGTGTTGAGGGGAAGAGTATTACCACTGACCCTCCATTGTCTCTTCCACCTTCTACTTGGCACTTCCCCTTTTCACCTCTTACATATCCATATCCTCACCTCAATATTTGGACACCCATTCTTTTCTCTTTCGATAATGAAGGAGGGGATCTAAGAGGTCTATTCACAGATCCATTCTTGAATAAAAAAAAAACCCCATAGGCTATAGACAAGTGATACCTGAATGGCAAAAAAAAAGAAAAGAAATGAGTGAGATCACCTATCTCACTTGTTCTCTCAAATATTTGCTCAACAAGGTAACACCCAGGAATCATTGTCTTCGAATTCTATGTGAAAAAGTCACGATGAGTCAAAGGAAAAGATATTTGTGCTAAATTGTACTCTAGTTTCTTTCTACTGAACCTTAATCTCTGCACCCAGCCAGCCACAGTTCAATGCCAGATCAATCGCCAGTACGGTCAAGTTCCAAGCATCAAATCAACCGCCTAGTACAGAAAAGAGGCCAGATTGACAAGTATTTAGTGATTTAAATGGCAAAATAAAAGGTTAAATAATGAAAAGTCTCTACAACACTTACGTTCGCTCCAAGACTGCCAACTGAGCTGATCACTGAAGTGGCTTGTGGTTGACTGAGACTTGAAGTGGATGAAAGTGGTAAAGTGGAGGCAGTGAATTGATTGACAATCGTCGACGAGTCATTTGATTGAGCTTCTGTGGTGGCCAGCGAGTCAAGAGTGACCGATTTCTAAAAAAAATGGGGTTAACGATGAAGGAAAACTTGTTCACCAACCATTCCCAAATCTCCATTCAATTGTTGTTGTTGTTGGTGATGTTGAGTGGCCATAGCAAGAACGGATTGTAGGGGTGTGGGTGATTTGAGATCAATGCCACTGTCACTTGTCTTTTCGCCGGATGAGTTCAGATCATTTTGATCGAATTCTTCCTGGAAATTTTTGGGATTTTTGTCTTGTTGTAATTGAGTTAAAAAGTTACATCTTGAGTTACATCTTGAGTCAAAAAAGCTACAGTACTGGACAATGAAATATCATATTTGAAAAACGATCATCACTTTCGCGCGCCTAGATCTAGAGCCGTTAGATCTAGAGCCGTTAGATCTAGAGTCGTTAGATCTAGAGCCGTTAGATCTAGAGTCGTTAGATCTAGAGCCGTTAGATCTAGAGCCGTTAGATCTAGAGTCGTTAGATCTAGAGCCTCTATTTGTTTCTTGAAAATTGACTGAATTTTTCGTACGTGGACAGCACTGGACAATGAAATATCATATTCGAAAAAACGATCGTCACTTTCGCGCGTCTGTAACTCCCATGTCTTTGAGTTCAAAACTATTAGTGTTATACATTTTCTGAAAGCTCTTTTCAAGCGCTACACAATGGTGATATTAATATTTAGAAATACGGTAAAGACAATCGTCGACGAGTCATTTGATTGAGCTTCTGTGGTGGCCAGCGAGTCAAGAGTGTCAAGAGTTACAGACGCGCGAAAGTGACGATCGTTTTTTTCGAATATGATATTTCATTGTCCAAGAGAAAAGCTTTATTTTTAGAAATTCTAATTTTGACTTGAGATTTTGATTTTGACACTCTTAAAACTCATTTCTTATTCTTATTCTTATCCAAATTCCTTTCACTTTTCTTACCTTTATTTGTGCAGCAGCCATCACTAAACCATTAGCTTGCAATTGTTGTTGAGCTGCTTCACGAATCGCCGCATTTGACGCATTATTGTTATTGTTTCTCTGAAAGATCACAGGTATTAAAGAAAAAAGATAATAAAACATTTTAAAATAACTTTACAACTAAAACAAAATTTTAAAAAATCAAAAAGTTGATTATTAGAGAGGATTTAACTATGATAATTGATTGATTTTGAAAGTAATTTTGTAAAGATCTCTTACTTGTAAAGATCTCTTACTTGTAAGGATCTCTTACTTGTAAAGATCTCTTACTTGTAAGGATCTCTTACTTGTAAGGATCTCTTACATGTAAAGATCTCTATAAGTAAAGTAAAAACAATTCTCTTGTTTCTTGTCCACTCACCGATCTCTTTTTCCCACTTCTCTCCTTGTCGTGAACCTTGAAACGTTTTTGTCGTCGTAAAAAGCATCCATTCTCAAACATATTCCCGCATAACTCGTGCAGAGTCCAGAAAGAGCCTTTCCCTGGCTTGTCCGGGGTTCTAGAATGGGAAAATTGATATAAAAATTGATATAAAAATTTCTAAATGAGCTACCTCGGCACTTTTACAAAGCAATCATTGAAGGAAAGTGAGTGACGGATTGAGTTTTGCCATCTAGAAAAAAGAGATTTTAATTGAAGACTAAATTCAAAGACAACACGACAAACAGGGACTAATGAGAACAACTATAAATCAACTATAAATCAACTATAAATCAACTATAAATCAACTATAAATCAACTATAAATCAAAAAAAACCCGTAACTTTTTCGATTATCAAACCATTATGATACTTAAATAGATATCAAAATATTAATTATAATATAAAATTTTCAAATTTCATTTGAAACGAGAAAGTACGGGTTGATGATGATCGAAAAAAAGAGCAATTCGGGAAAACGTTTCTTATAACGGGGAAAAATGAAAGCTTGCTGACCCGCGGCCTGACCTTTGCTGGTTCTGCCGATAGTACGGGAAGAGTTCCATGATCCAATTGTAAATCTCGGATAGTGTCATCATTTTCATCTCGGATCGCTGAATGGCCATCGTGATCAACGAAATGTAGGAATATGGCGGTTTTGCATGACCGTAGCCACCGTTTCGGCGAATCTTTTGCTGAAAAATTGGCATTCATTAAATGAGATTAGCTAGTTAGCTAGTTCCCTAGCTAGTTAGCTAGTTACCTAGTTACCTAGTTAGCTAGCTAGTTAGCTAGTTACCTAGTTAGCTAGTTAGTTAGTTAGTTAACTAGTTAGTTACCTAGTTACCTAGTTACCTAGCTAGTTAGCTAGTTAAATAGTTAGCTAGTTAGTTACCTAGCTAGTTAGTTACCTAGCTAGTTAGCTAGTTAGTTACCTAGCTAGTTAGCTAGACGTGGTGTCTAGCTAGCTAGCTTCAACAAGTTCACAAAAGCTTTCAATTTCATTTTCTCATCCAAAGCTCGATCCATTCACTTTGCTAATTCTAGAAGAAAATAAACAGTCCTTTTTTTTCTTAATTTTATTTCACTAGATTGGCTGAATGCCAAAAATGATAACTGAAGAAGAATTGAGTGAAAAACACAGCTGATTCAGCTTTAGAAATCGAAAATTTATTGATTGAAATGTGGAAATTGGTCATGTGCTTTTTATGATTGAATAAACGAATAGATCTAACTTTTGTTGATAACAAACCAATTCTTGTAGTGTTAGCGATTGCTCTCCACCACCGTACGAGTTTCCGCGTCCGCCACCACCGCCACTCGTCGGAGAAGCAGTTGATGAGGATGCGGTCGCTGTTAACGAGCTAACAGCACCTAGAAATCGGTTTTTTTATTTTTTGTCTGAGAAGATGAACGATCACCTCCAGCCATAAAGCTTCCATAAGCATTCATATTTACTGCAGCTGAGTTCGCATATTGTTGATACGGACTATAGGCGGAGAGGCTGCTGTTTAGGGCTGAGTTCTGGAAAGGAAATTGATGACTATTGATGACTATTGATGGCTATTGATGGCTATTGATGACTATTAATGAATAGATTAAAAAAGTACAATCAAATCGATCCTCTATACTTCAAATAACAAACTAAACTATTGGTTTTGACTTGAAAAAGAGCCTAAAAAAAGCTTTAAAGCTTTCAAGATAAAGCTATGATAATTTCGACGTAATCATAGCCTTTTTTTGCGTAATTCTACACTATTTCCATTCATCCATTTTTAAAATCCATTTTGTACACTAATTTCCTTGATCTAAATCGATTATTTCAACTTTATTTACCTGATACGTTTGATAATTGAGTGGATAAGAGTACGTGGGCATCACTGAGGCATAATCGGGAGTGGTCATCGCCTAGAAACAAGAAAAATGATATGATAATGAAAAAGAAAACTATTCAAATAATATCAAACAATATCAAAAGCTTTCCTCAACTCTTTCCTCAACAATTTCTCTTCATTTCCAATGGCTTATTAGAATATCAATCCAATAATATCAACTACCATCCTTTTAAATCTATTTATTTATTAGAAAGAATTTTTTTTGAAATGAATATGATAAGAAACGAGTGTAAACTGAGGGATAAGATGTAGAAAAAACAAAAAACAAAAAAAAAATGAGGTTTAGGTTGAGTTCAATGGTTTTAATATGTAAAAATTGTATAGAAAGAGATAGAAATATTTAAAAATCAGTTACTAGAGTTGAATAAACTAAAAGATTATTGTATTATGATGTGTTTAAGTCGAAAGAAACTCCTCCCTCCCATAAAAATCAATGTTTAGGTTTGAGAGGCGAAAAAAAAAAGAGCGAAAGATGAATGTAATCGGAGCTTCATCAACTCCAGAGCTTCTTTAGCTTCTTTTGATATAGATTTAGGCATTGAAATCGAAATCTAGATATTGGAAATGAAGAGAAATTGTTGAGGAAAGGTTTTGGAGATATTAGTTGGTTGGTGAGATTGGCGAGATTGGCGAGATTTGGGGAGAAAAGTTTAGAAAGAGATGAAATTGAGCTTTGTGAGAGGAAGCTATTCGGCATTTGAAAGCTGGAAATCTTTTGAAACTAATGAAAATCTTGATCTAAGTTGATAGTTTATAGAGTTTTTGATTTAAATACGAAAAACTATAAGATATTAAATGATAAATGTAATCTAAAGTACAATCTAAAGTAATCGAATTTCTTTGCCAGAGTCAGCTCTGATCATCTAGCTCTGATCATCTAGCTCTGATCATCTAGCTCTGATCATCTAGCTCTGATCATCTAGCTCTAATCATCTAGCTCTAATCATCTAGCTCTAATCATCTAGCTCTGATCATCTAGCTCTGATCATCTAGCTCTGATCATCTAGCTCTAATCATCTAGCTCTGATCATCTAGCTCTAATCATCTAGCTCTGATCATCTAGCTCTGATCATCTAGCTCTGATCATCTAGCTCTGATTATCTAGCTCTGATCATCTAGCCTAATCACTAGCTCTGATCATCTGCCTGATCATCTAGCTCTGATCATCTGCCTATCATCTAGCCTGATCATCTGCTCTGATCATCTAGCTCTGATCATCTGCTCTGATCATCTAGCTCTGATCATCTGCTCTGTCATCTGCTCTGATTATCTGCTCTAATCATCTGCTCTGTCTCTAGCTCTGATCATCTAGCTCTAATCATCTAGCTCTAATCATCTAGCTCTGATCAGAAAGTCTGTGGCTTTTAAAAAACCAATAAAAACATTAAAAATTCACTTTTAAACTAACAAATAGTTAAAGATAAATAAATTTTAAAGAAAAAAAAAAGATTTCCCTTAGAATGGAATGGAAAAGATGGAAAAGATGGAAAAGAAAGAAGAAAAAAAAAGATCGAGCCAACCCCTCACAAAAAGGGGGCGTGGCTTGAATGGAAAGCCGCTCCCACCCACCAATCCCCAATCCTCGTCTCTTCATCACATAGCTGGCTGTCTAAAGACTGTAGGAGTCAATGGTGTCTGGGAATTGCCCTCAAAAACTTTCAATCTGGATCTCACGGGGAACTTGTCTTCGAATCTTCGGATCAATATCACCGCGTGTGGCAATGTTTGAACTTGAGGTGCTTGAGGGGGAAATGAGCGCAAACAATACCCCTTTTTCTACTGTTTACCAATCAAAATTTATTTATTTTATTTTATTTATTTTGTTTATTTTATTTATTTTGTTTATTTATTTGATTCCGAGTAAAGCTAATAGGGGAATTGATTAGAAATTCGTTCCTGGTAAACGGATGGATAAAAACAGTGTTGTAAAAACAATTTTAAAAACAGTTTTACGAGTTTTACAAGACAGACAATTGGCTGGAAAGGGAAAGCTAAGTTTTTTTGGAAAAAGCTGGGGAAAGCTAAGCTTTGTAAAGCTTGGCTTAAATGTTAAGTTTTTGCAGGGTTGAGCAAGTTCTAGTGTTCAAGTGGATCAGGATCAGCTCTATGACAAAAGTCTCATCACAACATTCGAATCATTCAGGTTTTGCTGTTCTACAATTGCTGTTCTACAGCTAAAGCTGTTCTACAATTGCTGTTCTACAGCTAAAGCTGTTCTACAATTGCTGTTCTACAGCTAAGCTGTTCTACAATTGCTGTTCTACAGCTAAAGCTGTTCTACAATTGCTGTTCTACAATTGCTCTACAATTTCCGCAATCCATTTCTGCAATTACTGAATAAAATAGTAATGAAATCTTTAACTCTTTCAAATCTGATTGACTGTTTTTGGCTCCAGAAAGACGTTAGATAAAAAGGAGTGGCTGAATGGAATGAAGAAAAAGGGAAAAAGAGCCAAAATTTCAACGTTTCGGTAAGGAAAGGAGATGATTCAGAAAAAGAATGACGTGATGTTTATAGGACTGGGCTTGGCACAAAAAAATCAAATAATATCAAAACATTTTAGCTGAAAGAGAGCTATAGAATAGTCGAAATCTTGAAAAAACTATTCATCTGAATGAGTTTTAAAGAAATTTTCAAGAAAACTTTCAGAAAAACATTCAACTAAAACAGAAATTTCGGCTCTTTTTTGAATTCGGAAATCAGAATTGAGATTCGAATCAATCAAAAGAAAAAAAATCAGATATACAAATAGGATAAGTCTTGAATAGTAGTAAATTTGAATTAGAGTAACAGTACAGCTCATGCCAAGGTCCCTAAATTAGAGCTAACTTCACTTAGAAACGTGAAGAAACAGTACAGTTGATGCTAAAATCTCTAAATCTTGGCTTAATTTCAATTAGAAACACAAGAAACAGTACATTTGAATACTGAAATCCCTCAATCTAGAGCTAATTTCAATTTAACACGTGTAAATTCAGTGTTTGCAGTACAATTTAAACGCTGAACCAACTTTGTGTACAGAAAAGGTTAGCGAATAGTTTTTCTTAAAAATAAAACTTCAAAGCCAAAGTCAAAAGGTGAATTTTTATTGAAGTTGTGATGTGCCCCGGAAAGGTCAGTTTTAGAAAAGAGACGGGGGGCGAAATTGTGTGACACAGAAAGCGGGGTGGGGGGAATGATATGGTCTTATCTCACTCTCCACCCCATCACTTTCTAATAGACTTGTTGCCTGAGGGAATGCAACTTGAATTTATTTAAAAATTCTATTCAAAAACTAGATGAAAAATGAAATTTTCTGTGTTTTTGAAGCTTTTTGGCTATCTTGGCTATTTTGGCTATGTTGGCTTTCTTAAAAGTTATTAATTTTAATAAATGAAAGTTTTAATCGATGTTGTGTACGCCAGAATCATTAAAAAGTTGATGAAAAAGCCTCATAGTTGTTTTCGTTTTCGAAAAATTTCTTTACCAAACGATTTTCGAGTTGCTGAATGGTTGTGACTGGGTAAGTGAATGATGGGAAGTGATAAATCTACGCAAAACAATGACAATATCAATTTCGAAACCTCTTTAGAACTTTAGAACTTCAGAAAAGTACAAAATCCCTGCTAGAAATATGCTAATCTGCTAGAAAGTGTGAGTTTATAAAAAGTGATCATCAGAAAGCGGACAAAGCGCAAAATTCACTCTTGAAACTCATTCGATTCTTCTCCGTCTCCTCCAGGACTGGAAATTCTTCGTAAAACAGAATCTAGGTCAAATTCGGGGGATTTCTTTTGCGGCGATTGCCAAAAAAAAAGGCGTAGCTGGGGGGTTTTCGGGGGTGAGTAGCGCTTAGAATCGGCGTGTAACCGGAGAAAAACGCCAAACTGGAGCGCATCGCACTTCATCGCCGGGTCGTTTACCCGAAAAAGCGTTCTCATTGAGGGGGTTGGGTACTTGAAACTCTCTATGATCTTCCCTCCATTTCTCCTCGCATCCACTTGGCCCACTAGCCTGAATTCGGCTTTTCTTTCGTAAAATTCGATTACTTTATTTCTCAGTTACAAATTTTTAACTTAAAAATCTTTTGATTTTTCTATTTAAAAAGATTACGGTAGCTTTATAGACTACAGTAATTTATTAAAAAGATTTTTTTTAACTAGTTTGGCTTTGTAATTGAGATGATGGAAAAGAGTTGACAGGTGACATTTAATGGAAAGAAAGAAAGAAAGGGAAAGAGAAAGAAAGAAAGGAAGAGAAAGGGAAAGAGAAAGAAAGAGAAAGAAAGAAAGGGAAAGAGAAAGAAAGAAAGAAAGGAGAAAGAGTAAAATCGAGATCAAGAAGAGAAAGGCATTAGTTGAGTGAAAAAGACAAAACGATGAGTACGGTAGAGTTGAAAAGAGGTAGAATGAATTGAGTTCAAAAGGCTGAATAGATTTCTAAATCCCGTTCAACTTACCGTAGTCTGGTAGAGAGACGAAGCGCTGCTGTCCACGGCTGCTGCTGCCGCCGCTGAGGAAGTAGCTGCGAGAGCTGTTTGGAGGATCTAAAATTTGGTTTTTTTAAGATTTATCTAAGTTTACTGTAGCTAGATTTATTATGATTATGGCCTTTTTCTCTTTACCTGATTTCCTTGGGCGGCGGCGAATTGTCGAGCGTAGGCGCTGGCGTCGACGGACTGCTCCGTCGTGTCTTTCATCGCTCGAACACCTGCAAGTTTGGTTATGTATTTTGTGAAAATGGAAAAGAAGATCAAAATGGGAAAGGTGAAGAATGAAAGCAAATACATTAAGACTTGAAAGAGTAAAGCAGTGAAATGCAGCTCATTGTTTAGCAGTCTCATTTCATCTAGCCTAGCAAACACCTTGGGTTTCCAGTTATCAAAATCAGATCCTGAGTAGGGAGCTAAACTTTGGACCTGTAAATCAAGCTAGATCAGAGCTAGATTAACGCTAGATCAGAGCTAGTTCAACGCTAGATCAAAGCTAGATCAAAGCTAGATCAAAGCTAGATCAAAGCTAGATCAAAGCTAGATTAGAGCTAGAGCAGAACTAGATTAGAGCTAGATCAAAGCTAGATCAGAGCTAGATCCCGAGTTAGAACCAGGTCCAAACCTGTCCTCTACCTTTTATGAACCCGATTTTATGAAGTAACTTCTGACTTGACTTTAAAACATTTCAAAATAAAAAGTACTTTAGTACATTTCAAAAGAAAAGTACGGGCTAGCTTTTACACTCTTTAAAAACGTGACCCTGAAACAAAATCGATAGTTGACCACTATCCAAATTTGCTTGTGTCAAACAAAACGAGTGAGTGAAGAAACAACAAACACAAATATAATTTTCTTTGAAACAAACACTGAGCATGTGAATATTTGTAAATAGATACGGGGTGGATGGGCAAATAGGGAACATCAAGAGAAAGTGGAAGAAGGGGAAAAAAAAGGAGAAGTGCGAAGAAATCAAATATTTAAACATTTAAGAGACAAGGAGGGGGAGGATCTAATGAGCAAATATCCAAAGTTTGTATTTCTTTGTTGCTTTGGGTAAACTTTTTGAGCTGGAGATTGATCGGAAAAGTTGCTTTTGCTAGTTCAGAGTTGTTTTGATGGCAGGGTTTTTTTTTTGCCAGAGTCAGCTCTGATCATCTAGCTCTGAACATCTAGCTCTGATCATCAGTATCTGTGGCTTTCACTTGCGCCTGGTCGTACTGCTGCTTTCTGGATCTGGTTGGAAATACTTAAAAGTCATTTATGATTAAATTAATGACATTGAAACTTTTTAGTTGCTTCAAATTCGATTAGAATTGATCAGGCACGGAAAAGAGAAATTGATAGCATGAGATAGGGACTAAGGGTCAAAACAAAGCTTATCAATCAGTAGATCAAGAAATGAGAAAGTTGATAATATAGAAATGATCGAAGTTTATGAAAATGGAAAGCTTCAGTTGAGTTTAGCTGAGCTGCTTTTATCTGAGCTGAGTTTAAGCTGAGTTGAGTTTAGTTGAGCTGCGTTTAGCTGAGCTGAGTTTAGCTGGGCTGAGTTTAGCTGAGCTGAGTTTAAGCTGAGCTGAGTTTAAGCTGAGCTGAGTTTAAGCTGAGCTGAGTTTAAGCTGAGCTACTTTTAGCTGAGCTACTTTTAGCTGAGCTACTTTTAGCTGAGCTAAGTTTAAGCTGAGTTGAGTTTAAGCTGAGTTGAGTTTAAGCTGAGTTGAGTTTAGCTGAGCTGAGTTTAGCTGAGCTGCGTTTAGCTGAGCTACTTTTAGCTGAGCTGAGTTTAGCTGAGCTGAGTTTAGCTGAGCTGAGCAGATAGCAGAGCTTAAAACGAAAGTCATTATTGCCATTTTTCTTGAAGATTTATGAGTTTTAAGGTGTAATTTCATCAAATCGAGAAATGTAGAAAGAGATTGAGAAAAAAGAATTCATTGAAGGGTGATAGGGGGAATGGGGATGAATGGAGGGAGAGGGGAGCACCTCTTCCACCTCTTCCACTTCTTTCACCTCTTTCACCTCATAATTCTCTATTTCTATGACATCTCACCGTTTCCCCCATTCCTTGTTCAGGTAGGTAAACATTGGACGATTCGGTTCTGTGGAAAGGCTCCACCCCTCCCTTTCTCACAACCAATCCCTGCCTCTTTTCCCATAAATACATTTACATCTCAATAAATTTATAAAGAATAATTCTGAATCAAGCTGAAAGGATTCAATGTCTTTAATAGGGTCTTTAATAGGGTCTTTAATATCTGTCTTTAATAGCTTTAATAGCTGTCTTTAATAGCTTTAATATCTGTCTTTAATAGCTTTAATAGCTGTCTTTAATATCTGAAAGGATTCAATTAGGATTTAATAGGGTAAAGCTTTATTTTAGCAATTAGAAATTGGGTTCTTGATTTGTTATATAACTCAGAAAGTGTAATAGTAATGAATTTGGCTGGTATGCAGTGAGAAAAAATGCAGTAGCTAGTGATTGAACTAAACTTTCTAAACTTTCTAAACTTTCTCAAGCTAGTGTTAAAGAAAAGTTTTTTTTGTCCTTTCAAATAAGCTTTTTAAACTTTTTAGTAAACTCAACTCGAAAAATCGTAGCTAAAAATCATGAATTGAATGCACTAGAATGCATGTGTTTCAACCCGCTCAAAGTCTAACAGTTTTATTGAGCTAGCTATTCTTCACAAATATCCAAGTGAACAGCCTAGCAGCCAGCTGATCGAAAGGAGAAAACGGCCACAAACACGCAAATAAAACGCGTGCAAATATGGGTAGATTGCGGGGGGAAAAAAAGGGAAAAGAGGAGGAAAAGCTTGTGCCTATTTGTGTATTTACAAGAAAACAAACGGATAGATTCAAGGAAAACAGAGTCGACGATTGTTTTTGAGGAGCAAACTTCGGAAGAGTCAGCTGGACGTAAAAGTGAGGTGAATGAACAGTTAGAACCATTCTGAAGCTATAAAACTAGTTTGATTTAATCTAGTCTACAAAAGTAGCTAGAGCTAGGTTAGCTAGGTCAGCTAGGTTAGCTAGATCAACTAGGTCAACTAGGTTAGCTAGGTCAGCTAGGTCATCTAGGCCAGCTAAGTCAACTAGGTTAGCTAGATCAGCTAGGTTAGCTAGATCAGCTAGGTTAGCTAGATCAACTAGGTCATCTAGGTCAGCTAGATCAACTAGATCAACTAGGTCAGCTAGGTCAGCTAGGTCAGCTAGAAGTCAGGCCTAGACCTAAGCTTTGGCTCTAGTCTGACTTCCAGCTTGATTTAAACTTGTAAAACAATCAAAGCCAGAGTCAGAAGAACTATTTACAATTATTTGTAGAATTAAGAAGTAGAAATTTGTTATGAAATCATTTGTGTACGGTATTTGAGATGATTGGGTCGACTCGTCAAATCGAGAGGTCGTGGCCCGGTCGTCCGCTCGGCAGTCAGTCTCTTTTTTCGAATTTTTCTCTTTTCGTGCACACCAACGGAAATCCGGCTAAGAACCCCCACATTTGAGAGACGGAGAAAAGAGAAGTTAAGCCTAAAGATGATGAAGAAGAAGAAGAAGAAGAAGAAGAAGAAAAGAGGAATAAGAGTAAATGATGAAAATCTCAAAACTCAATCACTTTTTTTGACTCAGTAGTTCAGTATTTTCAAGTTTTCTTGGGTTATTTAAAGTCTACAATTTTACTGTTTAAGTCTCAGTTTGAGTGTGTTTAAGTCCCAGTTTAAGTCCCAGTGCCAGTCATCAAGTTTCAACTTTTCCAAGCTCATTCTCCGTCCAAAAGGAAAAGTACTGTCAGCAAAGATATTCAAAAGTTATACAAGCTAAGAGCTAAGAGTCATACCGAAGAGCCGAAGGGCATTTAAAAATGGCATTCAAAAATGGCATTCAAAAACTGAAAGCTAACATCAGTGTCAGATTGATAGAGGTCAATCCGGATCAATGAAAAGTACTGTCAGCAAAGATATTCAAAAGTTATACAAGCTATAGAGCTAAGAGAGCTAAGAGTCAGGCATTTAAAAATGGCATTGAAAAACAGCATTTAAAAATGGTAATCAAAAATGGTATTTAAAAATGGTATTCAAAAATGGCATTCAAAAACTGAAAGCTAACATCAGTGTCAGATTGATAGAGGTCAATCCGGATCAATCAAAGCAAAAGAAAAAGTCTTGAGTGATTGGGGCAAGTCTTTTAGATGACCTTTCTTCATCTCAATCCATTCTCAATCCATTCCATTCCCCATTCCCAATATGGCAGGTAATCTCTCCTGCAAACAGACGAGAAGACCACCTCAACCGGCCTTCATCTTAAGTAAAGAAAAAGAAAAAGAAAAAGAAAAGAAGACCTTTGCTTTTTCTAGTTTTTTCTTTTTCAAGAAAAGAACCGTGACGGATCGTTGATGAGTTGAGTTTGAAAGATTAAAATCACAAAAATCAATGGCTTGGTCCATTGTCGTGGTTGAGATACGATTTCGAAAAGCTTTGTCGTTGAGAGTAAAAGAGAGGAAAGAGATTTGACAGAGAAAAGAATGGGATGAATGTGTGTGTGTGTGTGTGTGTGTGTGGGGAAGACTGTACGATATGTGGATGCTTTTCCCCACAAATTTCTCTTCTCTCTGCACCAGTCCTCCAGTCACACAGAGAGACGTCACGCTGGCGCAGCACAGATGATGCGTCGCGTCTAGGGCCTAAAGACCTAGACTTTATCCCCGATCATTCTTATGACGTTTCGTCTGATCATTCCTCTGATAAAGTCTCATAGCTAAATTGAGAAAGCATTCAAAAGTTCGAAAGTTGACAGAGAAAAGAATGGGATGAATATGTGTGTGTGTGTGGGGAAGACTGTACGTTCAAAAAGTTCAAAAAGTATCAGCTTTTCTATTTGTAAGATGTCGCTTTAATGATTTAATAGAAAAGGAAAAGAAGAATGAGTTTAAAGAAAAGAAGAATGAGTTGATGATCTAAAAACATTGAAAAGAAATCTTTCGATATAAGTCATAGTTTTAAAGACTTTTTACACTAAAAAGTTTAGTAATAGTAAAATAAAATTAGTAATGTGCAAGAGAATTCCTGAATGAATCAAAAAGTAGATCACTAGCTGAGTTTTAAGCTTGGCCCTATTTGGCTTCATTTCAACTCTCATAAACACTCAATAAAGTCGAGCACTTAGCTCTAAACAGAGCTATTCTCTAGTCAAATCCATAAGATTTCTAGATTCATTTT